CCGCACTAACAGCTGCTACATGCCCTCTCTCTCCCCTTCCCCATCCCCTCCAGCAACCCCTGTCTGAACAGGCTCTGTTCCTGCTGCTTATTGCACTGCAGTCCCACTGCTCCCACTTCCCTGCGTAGTCACTGAGCAGCCCTGAATTCAGTCCCATGGCTTTGCCCTTTCTTTTCCCATGGTCCATTTTGCCCTGTTTCTTGGCTGTGCTGCAAGGGGAATGCCTTCACCCATTGTCCTCCTTCCTCCCAGCACAGGTGCCCCGTAAGCTGCTTCCATACTCACAGAGCCCCAGGCTGAGCAGGAGGAGCAGTGCAGGAGACCCGGCCATGGTCCTCAGGGCGGTGCAGCGGAGCGCGGGTGATGTTTCTCACTGCACGTTGGAGACAGCTTGTGTAACTTATAGGAGAGGATGTGATGTCATCAGGACCCTCTGCTGTGAAGATCCAAGGTTCAGTAAAAATGATTTCTGAAGAACTCCAGTAGAGATCCAGAACTCAGGCTGTGTTCTCTCATAACACTGTTTTTAATGGATTTTGCAGCTGTGACATTCAGACTGGCAACAGTTCTTCTTGAAATTAAGTCATCCATTCTAGACTACTTTCTCTCAGCCATTTGGAGCACTCACAAACATCCACACCTACACAAAATGGGACAAGTTCCATGATGTGAACTCCAGCCTCAGGCTACATTTCTTGACCAAGATTCTGCCACCTTCACTTGCTCATGCATCTGTGGTCCGGTGTGGATGTCAAGGCATGCTGTTTTCTTACAGAGCAAACAAGAAGTGGGAATGTTTTACAGCATGAATTCATATGCAGTTTTGATTCCCGTGTCCACGTATTGCCGACATGTAGCTGACTTCTCCAGCCCTGTTCTTCTTTGCAGTTGTTTTGCAAATGCTACTTTGTGCAAGGCAGGTCTGTGATGAGAAACCCATCCAAAAAGCCCCATGTCCCAGTGGCATGCAAATTTTTACTTTTTTTTTCAAAGCAGACTTTCTGTGGCTTTATTTTACAACCACCAGGACCTCCACCCTGACTAATATACGTGTCAACATTCATTGCCTTTGATGCTGCCTCAGGTGAGCACTCACATGTTGGTAAGTGCTGCAGCTTTGCACACACAGTACCAACAGTTTCCCTGGGCTGGTGTTATTTGTGTTTTCTGTTGTTATTTCCTGGCTCTACTGCTATTTGAGACGTGTTGCTGTATTCCTCTTTTGCAAATGTGCCCCCTGTTCCTGGATGCCAGAATCCAGGCACTGCTGCCTGATGGAAGTGCTGTTTGGTGAGAAATTGGGCCAAAATTGTCTGTTTATGGCTGGGCTCATTTCATTGGGCCTGAAAGCATTTGGGTGAGTAAGGAAAGCTGCTGTGAAACCTCCTAGAATCTGTTATCCTAGGCTTTTTTTGATGTGTTAAGACTTGTGATGTCAGCAAAAATTAGAGCAGCTTTTTTTTTTTTTACAATATAATGAGAAAATTTGATTCATCCATCCATTAAATAACATTACAAGAATCCATGTCTTGGAATCCCACTAAGGAAATGTGAACAGTTGTCTTTAAGACCTCTGTCCATCTCCCGTCGTGATACCTAAGTTATGCTGTTTGTGTCTGCTGTAAGTATATTCTTCTCAGCCTAACTGGAATCCATTCTGCCTTTGCAGTGGGATCAGGAGCTTTGAGGAGTGCATGACTTCACTGCCTGCTGGAGGAACGTGGGGCAGGAGGTGAACCTATGGCCATCTGTGTGGATGGCTGAAGCTGTCCCATGTTTTGTGAGGTGCTGCACTGAGCTGCTTCTGCCTTACACCAGCATTACGACCAAAGCAGTAAAATTCCTCATTGGAGTGGTTCACTACGGGTTGGAAGGGAACCCGTTGGCAAATGCATTGGGCTGAATGTTTCTTGGGACTGGATTCTCATCCTGCCGTGGAGCATGGTTGCCTAATTACAGCATGTCGTCATTAGAGGTGTGTTAGATGAACCTCTACAAGTAGAGTACAGGAAAGGCCAGGAAGACTTACTGCCTTTCTTAGTAGGGATATCTTACTTCCCACTTTTCTATGAGTCATTCCAAAGCAACAAAGGACATCTTGTGGTCAGGGTCTACTACAAGCCATGTGTTCAGGTGAGCCTGTAGATGAGACCTTCTTGTTTTGGTTGGAGGAATTGTCACAATGGCACATTCTCATCTTGATGGGGGATTTCAAACACCTAGATGTTCTACGAGAAAGCAACACAGTGAGCTGCAAGCAATCCTGGAGACTCCTGTGCTGAAGATAGCCTGCTGGTCCAGGTATTAGACAAACTGACCGGAGGAGTAATGTTCCTGGACCTGTTCCCCACCAGCTCAGAGGATCTCATTAAAGAGGTTAAGATTGGATGCACTCTGGGCTGCAGCGACCATGCTCTGCTGGAGTTTGTGATCTTGAGGATCTCAAGGATCCAGTTTGTTCAAGGATTTGCTGCCTGTGATCCTCTGAGAAGCTGTCCTTATAGACAAAGGAGTGTAGCAGAACTGGCAGCCCTTTAAGGATGCCTTTCTGACAGCACGAGAGCAAACTGAGGGATAAGAAGGACTTATACAGGGAGTGGAAGCTGAGATGTGTGGCCAATGATGTGGGAGAATAAAGAAATGCTGTCTGGGCGTGCAGAGATGGGAAAGCATGTTGGGTCTCCCTGCCCTCATGGAAATTGTCAATGAAAACAAACAACTTGCAGACCGAGATAAAAATTACAGTGGGGAAGATACTGGAAAATAGAAGGAGACCGGGACATCAGATCTGAGTATTGATGTGAGTGGTTTATTGGTGATCCACGGAAGGCTCAGCTGTCCAGCACAGCGGTGCCTTTTGCACAGCAGCACGCAGCTGCCCGGCTTCTTCGGGTCAGCGCTGTGCCCGCGGTCTGGCTGTGTCACAGCAGAGTGGGGCAGGAGCACATGTCAGGCTGTGGGAGGTGTGCAGTGCTGGTGGGCAGCACAGCAGGAGCAGCCAAACGGCGGCGCTGCATCAGGGCAGCTGTGTGTGCTGCTGGTGGGATCAGTGCGGTGCTGGAGGAGGACGCCTGTGTGCCTTCTGCTGAGCAGCGACGCAGCACTGCTTGCTTATGCTGAGCTTGGTCCTGCAAGCGATCGGCTTGTGGTGAGCGCGTGTGACGCGTGGCTGTGCTGATTGCAGCACTGCTGACCCTTCCACCTGTTGACATAAGAATAACTGATCTCTTCAATAAGGAGGAACTGTAATTTTAACGAAGGTTTCAAGCTGTAGTCTCAAATCACAAGGTTTTGTTTCAAATCGAGGGGTCCAAAACCAACCAGACTCCATCATACAGTTTTTCCGGTGTGAAATGGAGTTTGTGGTTTCTGAGCAACTTGCTGCCCCGTTTTCTTTGCAGAGCTGCAGCTCTGAAGGGCTTTGGAAAATCTCAATTGCAGCTCTCACACACCACTCACACATCTTTCCACTGCATGTTTCCAGTACAGGACCCACACTACACTCTGGATATTTGTGCTATAAACCTCACGTGTCTTAAAATACAGTTTGCAAACCACAACTGCTCCCGCGTGCTCATCCTCCCATGGTGCTGCCCTATAACCCGATCAGCAGGTCTGATATCGCCACACACATTGCTTGTTGATACCTGGGCTGAGGATTTGATAGCAGAGCCAAACGTCAAAGGTTTGCTTACTGCAAGAAGATAGCCTTGCACGGGCAGGTTGCTTTGCACAGGCTTTGTGCACCTCATCTCTGGATGCCTTACAGGAAGTGCAGCCAGTCGGTAAATCAGCACCAATGCTGCCACCTTTTGGGAGCCGGTGACAATTCACTCCTCCAGCACAGTTACAGCTGCAGGCAGGAGCAAACAGTACGTAGTTCTGCAGCTCTGATCTCCTGCACACTGCAGAGACTTTCAGTAGTTCTGCACTGAATCTCAAGGCTTTGTGTCTTCCAGCACCGCCTATGGGCCTTCCTCAGGAAAACGATGATGATGTACATTGTTCCAATGCATCCATTTTTGTCTGAAGTGCAGTTCCAGTCTTTAATTGGTGATATGGGCTCATTTACAATTCCCATCTTCTGTTGCAGCCCCCCATTCCCACAGCCAGGTTTCTGTTGGGTTCTTATAGCCGTGGTGTTGTCCCACAGCCCTACTCCCACCTCCATCAATTCAGAGTCCTGTCACATCTTGTCAGTGTGCCTCAAGGAAGCACACAGCCCTCCCTAAAAGCTTTGGACAAGGAAAGCCAGCTGGAGATTGCCCAGGGGGTTTCTGGGGCCATCCGTGCAGTGGAAGGAACTTTCCCAGGGCAGGGTACTGCGATGCATCCTCAGTGGTAACATCTTAAGAGGGAACTTCAATTTCTGTGGTTGGTTACGGTTCAGGGGATGGAATTGGACCCAATTCTGATTCTCCATCTTTTCTGCCAACAGTGCTGGCTGTATGGAAACCTATGGCTTTGCTTCATCTGTTTTGTGGTGTTGGTTGCCTTGTTATTTCTTCTAGATTTTGCATTAACTTGAAACAAACAAAAAAAAACAACAACAACAACAATAAAAAAACCCCAACAACCCTCACTGTAGAATGAAAGCTGTGAACACAACCCTCAAACAGGATATCTTATTCAAAAGAGGCTGCCTTAATGCACCCCTTTGTCATCAACAAAAAAAACTAAATTCAGTGCTAGGTTTCACTTTTAGCAGCCTGGTGCCCACCACTGCTCTGAAGAGGAATGTTTGACTGCTGCTTTCCATACTGGGTCCCCTAGAATTGCTGCCCTGTGCTTGTGAGTGTTGGACTTTACTTGTCATCTAACAATTCATGTTTAGGACATAACCTGCAAATGTTACTTTCATGCAATTAATTTACTTACATTTATGCCTTGTAAATACAGAACTGTAAAAGGATCTATCAGACACTGGGTGATAAGGGATCAGGTGAAATTCAGAATAGACGAATGTGAAGTGATCCATAGATGGCACCAGGCTCAGGAAATCATTTTGAGTGAAAAAGGTTGGAATACTAAGGGGATGACTGTCCTGTCATTATTCCTTAGCCATCTGTTTGAAGACAGAACAGTGCTCTGGATGTACCTGAATGTGCTCCGAATCAAACCTTCTTCATGTTCTTAAATAGACGTTCTCATTACAGTGTGTCACTTCAAAGAAGCCATTT